TGGGTGGCCACTCAACTCAAGACTGACTTAGACAAGGTAGTCTGAAAATACTTGTTTTTGACAAATCCACACATACTTTTGGTAATGATAACATTGAAGATGCTAAGAGATCAATGGCTTTAAGATCTTCTCCAGACATCAACAGTTTGCTGGTTGTTGGACGGATTGGGAAGGTTTCCAGAGGTGCTTGGGAACTTCCCAAGAAGCTAGCAGGCAATTTGGTGGATGGGTCTGGTTGGTTGCAACTGCCCTCGGGTGGCCTTGGGGCACTCCAGCTCTCCCTCGAGAGGACTCACCTTCATTCCCCAAGCAGAAGGGCTGCACTTCCCTGAAAGGAGCGGCTCCCTTGGGAATGGCTGGCGCCCGAAACGCAGCGACCCCCCCCTCATTCTGGGCCAGATGGGGCTGTATCGTGGATCGCATGGTCCAAGCAGACTTTGGGCTGCATGATCTTGCGCTGCGCGCATAGGAAGCCTGTGGCCCTTCCATCCAGATCTCCCACCGCAGCCGGACACCGCAGAGCAGGCAAAGCTGCAGGCAGCAAAGATGCCTCCAGCAGCTGGAAACAGGAGGAGCCCTCCAAGGAGCATCAGCTGAGTGCCCTTGACAGAGGAGGAGCTACCGAATTTGAAGTGCCAAACCTGCCCGGTTGCCAGCACGGATCTCCCTGCAGCAGTGGCCAGCGGGTCACCCAAGAGGCAAAGGGCACGTGCAGGGCGGAACCCCCCCCGCCAACCAATGCTGCTGGCATGCCATGGCTGCGCCCTCAGGTCTCCTTCCCGCCGGCGCCTTCCTGAGCATTCTGTGCCCACCAGCACGGTGGGCCACCTGATCCCTGGTGGCTCTCCTGCTATCCCTCAGTGCCTCCCCAGACCTCCAGCCTGGATTGGAAGCACCCGCTTGATGCCACATGCTGGCTGAGCAAAGAAAGGGGGCGGCTGTGAGCAGCGGAGCCCCTCGCGGGGAATCAGGCCGCTGGCCTGGCTCAGTCCGGCCGCCACGGGAAGGGAAAAAGGATTGCCGATCGGAGTGGAGCCTCTTCTGGATCCATCCACGCAAGGCTCTCCCGGGCCCTCCCTCTGCCGCGGGTCGGGCTGGCTTCGGAGCCTCAGGAGCCGGGTGGCGCAGCAGCTGCCCCCTCCGCAAGGCCAAGCCCGGGGCAGCCACTTTGAAGGTGGAGGAAAAGCCTCGGCAGGGTGATGCACTGGGTCTCCAGCAGACCCGGGCGCGCTGTGGGGAGAGCACGCGAAGGAATTACAGGGCCACAGGAAACGTGGTGTGAAAGGAAGGAAGGTTCCGACACTGGACAAACCTCTGAAGCAGAACCAAGAGCGGGGCGAGAGCAATGGGGCTGCCCCCTCCTTCCCCCAAGAATTTCTAGGCAACAAGGAGACAGAGTTGCAGAAGTGACACAGCAGCTTCCCCCCCCCCCCCCCCC